AGTGGATCTGGGGGGGGGCAAGGGGGGCTGAGCCCCCCCACGTTTTGATCAAGGGGGCAGAGCCCCACCGCAGCCTGCATCCAGAAGAGCAGAGCCTCTCTAAATTTTGATGCAAGGTAGCAGGAGGGGAACTGACCTCACTTTTAATTACTTATGTTATTAGAGTAAACAATCAAATATCGGACTAATCAAAATTCGGACAGTTATATTTTTAAAACTAAACATGATTTTCCAGTGATTTTTGCACTAGATATAGATCATTATAATACCTGTTTGCATGGTAAAAATCAAAGCATCACCTTCTTTCTTTGTAAAGATATAACTTGCTAAACACACTTCGTGGATTCACACGATAATCGGCCGAGTTCACTCAATTTTCGTCACTTAACCACAACGAAGCAAACTTTATTCGAAGAATAGTTTTATACCACCAGAACTCTAGTACTGACTGTCTTCTTCAAAAAGGATCACACAGCCGGCTTCTTAGGTACACTCAGCTACCATAAAAAATATTTAACTTCTTCTACAATAAACGGACACGCCGAACATTATTGATTATTATTAAAATTAGTTATTATTTACAGTTGTTACATGTAAATTTAAAGTTTTTTGATTTCGCCTTTTGAAATGAAATTTTATAACAATAACAGTGATACCACTGGTTGCAGCTGCAACAAAAGACCCAATTAGACTCATCAGGATGTGAACATTGCTTCAGGGAACAATCAGACTTGACTATTATTGTAGTATAATTAGACTATGTCAAAATGTTATCCTTTACCTTTAGATTTAACACTCCTTTTGGTAGCATAAGTAGTAGAAGGGACTGCATCTGTATTATTGAATAATAAATCGTCATAAATTATTAATTAAAAATAAATACCTTTAGCAATACCATTATTCACTGTACATTGTCCAACTCTTTCCATTTCTGTAATTATCAATAATAATAAAGATAATAATAATTAAAATTTTACTACGTTTAGTTCTGACACTCCTTCTTGTATCAACTCTATGTGCACCTAAGCATAAACTATAAAATTAATAGCAAAATAAATTATTGTATACTTTGAACACTCTTCTTTGCAGTAGGATAATCAGCTGATTCTATATTAAAAATAATAAAATAAAATAAAAGAATTATGTGACACCTTTAGCACTTTTCTTAGCAGTAGTTGCATTAGCAGGACTTACAGTTGTTTCTATATTACATCAACATTTATAAAAAGCTAGTATATTAATACCTTTAGTTCTAACACTTCCCTTACTCCCCTTAGCAGTACATATAACTCTCTCTGTTTCTACATAAGTCAATAATAACAATTAAAAACCTGTAACACTTGCGTAGGCAGGCACAATTGTCTTTGTTCAAAAATTGCATAATAGTACCTTTAGTTCTATTGCTCTCTTTGGCTGCAGTACTAATATCTGTAGTGGGTTCAACTGTCTCTATACTTGCATAGATAAAAATAAACAAAAAACTTAATAAATACCTTTAGCTCTAACACTTTCTTTAGCTCTAACACTT